GACAGTAAATTACCAGTAATAAAATAACTAGCATTTTGAATATAGAAGTAATGACAAATCAGAATGAGTAAGGGTTAGAGAAGCGGATTGATAATTTAAGCTGGGAATTCAGCAAGCTCTTTGATTACAAGAACGGTTTGACTATTGTGCCCTTTATTAAAGGATGGATGAACAATCTGTGGGTTATGGACCTTTTCCTCAGCAGCTGTTCTTTATTTATCACTGTCAGATTTGCTTGCTTGCTAAATAAAAATATAATGGTCTATCATATAATTCAGATGACAGCACTAATTATGATGAAACAGCAATGCCTTTAGGGAAAGGGGGACAAAAAAGACAGAGCTATAATACAATAATAGCTTTCTTACTGAATCTTTCACTTAAGGAAACTTAAACTACCGCTCCCTGAAGCTAGGATTTCTGTAAGTTGTGTCTGATGGGGAAGTATTCCACAGAACTGCATTTATAAATCAGGTGTTAGAGAAGTTTGTTCTTCAAGAAATTGTACCTCAGTCTTTTCTGTTGTCCTACAATAATATTATGACCTTTTACTATTGTCATTCCATCAATTAGTGCTTAGGAAAGAATCTGTCCCTGACTCTGTGGTTGCTGTTATTTCTGTTTGAGTGAGGAAATAGATTCTACATCAGCAGAATCACCTCAAACTTTCATGTCTGTGCTTACCTTCCAGAACACAAGTCTGCTTTCTTAAAATGCAATGATCCTTCAACTGTTCTCATTTTCTGGAATTAGTGGAAGATTTTTCTTGTTGAGCATATCTTGCAATGCTTTGAGATAAAACAGCATGCCTTATCTCTTAGGCCTGTAGATTGACAGTTTGGATCAGGTTTTCTAGGCTAAGAATGGAAAGTCACTTGAGGCTGACTTCAGCTCCTGTGTGGAGACAGCTGGAAAAGATCAGCCATTATCACTAGACAGGCCCCTGCTGTTGCCTACGATTAGGTGCTGCAGAGCTGGCATAGAAGACGTAGCTGAGTTTTGTTGTTTCTCATCCTATATTGTGGGCATCACTATGTTTTTTGTGAGCTGGCTAGGTAGATGAATTAGCGGTGTAGCAGTAGACCACAGAGTTACCTCTGTGGTAATGTTCAGGTACAGCTCAGTTATTTCCTCCTGCTCTGTGTATGTCTCTGATGTGGAACTTTAATATGGTTCAGAATTAGTACTCAAATCTTTTGGTGCTTTCAGTATCTCATCCATCAAAGGGTTTGTAAACTCCTTTGTGTTTCGTCAGTGATGTTTTGACTCCAGGATCTGTTAATCACGTCACAAAAATACCTGATTTCTCGGCTTACTTGACTCTTTCCATGAATGAGTTAGAGGTAAGCTTGTTAAATTTCATTTGGCTCTCCAAGTAGCTGAAGTACAAATTTACATCTGTATAGGATGTATTTGATTGATCCAATAATTGAAGGTAGCATAAAACTTGTTTTCCTTAATCAAAGGGATGTCCAGTCTTCTGAAAGTACTAGCTATGGCCAGCAATTTACTGAATTAGATGCTGATGCGTTTGAAACAATAAACTGGGTACCATCCAGTAGAGAGAAATTGTCTGGCTCGCTACTGAGGTTTCGGACCAGAATCACAATAGAAACTTGAATGGAATGTCCCTTGCATATAACTAAAATATCAGAGGTGGCTGTAAGGATGACTAGGCTATTTGGTTCTGTTCTTACAAAGCCAAAAAAAGGGGGTTTAAACCCCTCTCTATTGCTTCATTCAACTGCTCTATTTTAATGTAGCATATTCCATTTCAAAACAGAGTTTTGGATATTGTAGGTTTGATTTTTACATTCTTTGAGACAAAATTTTGAAAGATTAGAAGTGTCCTGTCTAATTTAAACTTATAGTTAGGCTTAAAAATTACTTCTTTTCCCTCTGGCATGCTACAGGGGGCACATGACTCCATACAATCACACGTCTAGGTGCTTAGTTTAGCATTTAAATCAACACACCAAGAGTTTACACCTTCAAAGTTGAAAACTGTAAGAGATCAAGTCTTAAATGATAAGATAATCACTTTCCATGCATATAAATGGGCACATCTGTTAATGCACACTAATATTTTCTCTGCAAAGTAGACAAGCAGCAAAGAAAATAGTCTCATGCTATATATTCAGAGCTGTTTTATAGTTTTCAGGACTTGCCGTACAGAAGATCTCTGTCAGATTGAAACAGTGTTGGAACTTGTGAGCCAAAAAAAGTAATTTCTGATCTCCGCATGCCCTCTATATAGTCCAAACAGACAAATTCAACCCAGTGCAATTTGCTTTGCGGTTTTTCTGAGCAGGAAGCCATGAAGTACTTATGGCATGACTAGCTATGAATTCATCTACAACCAAGAATATTTACTTTTACTCTGTAACTTGGATTAAAAGACCAAAGCATTGTTCTACAAACTGATTCCAATGCAACAAAGGATGGAATATATGCCACATGCTTAATTTAATCATGAAAACGTTTAACTACTCTCTCTGAAGTTATGTGCTTAAAATCATGTTCCTGTTCAAATTTGGTTTTGTTTCAAAGATTGCATATGTAATGCTTACCTTAGTTCCCTTTGAATTGGCAAACTGGTAAGAACACCAGTTCTAATTGTCATCAGTATTAAGTTATAGCGCTCGGGCATCTGCTCAGACTTCAGGCTGTAGAACTTCTTAGCTCATGCTAAAATAGTAACACAAACAATTGTTATTTGACAGAAACCCTTTGAAAATCTTGTCAGCAAGAACTCTATTGCAACAAAACCACAATGTACAGGTCCCCTCCTCTTAACCCCAGGATGCTCTAAGAAGAATCTAGTCCTGTCCAATTGCAGTTATCATTGAAGAGTGAAAGCTTTTTTTGTGCTTTGTAATGCATTTAAAAGCAACACAAACAATAGTTGTCCATCTAGTATGAACCCTTTCCAGCTGATCATTGCTGTTCTATCTCTTTAGACTTCTAGAATTTGTCTAATAGATATGGTGTTGCATTCTCTATGTAAATCAGAGTTCCGTTTGAAGCTGGACACACAAAATTGAAATACAGAGGGCTTAACATGTTTTTCAAAGCATGGTTTGGGCTCATCCAGGCTTCAGTTATAAAATAGAAACATACTTTCTAAGGAGAAAATTTTAAGTCCTGCAGCACTTGCTAACAGCATGCTGGGGCATTGGTTTAGTATCAAGGGACCAAGATAAGAGAAACAGTCTACAGAGTAATAAAAGAACTCCTTTTCTAGTAGCTGGATTCTCTGTCCCAGCACAGTATCAGCTGGGCCTGATTTTCCTTTCTTTGTGATATCCTTAGTAACCATTGTCTTAGAGTGATTCATACAAGAATAGACTAAATGACTGAATGGACTGTAGAGTTCATTTTCTCACTATCGGAGAGGAAAATACAGGCATATTCACTGCCACAAGCAGCAATTTCCTGCACTTTTAAGTTATACTCCAAGTGAGAAGTAGCTGATGTAGTTTGGAACATACTCATTAATATCAATATGACCTGAACATTTCCATGCCCCATTTGTCCCAAGGATTCTTGGGTTGCAAACTGTCTTTTAATTTCCTTCTCATTTCTACTTTCTTACTTGATGTCTCTTTTTGCTCTTGTACTTCTGTTACTGCCCTTCAGGGTCTTTCTGCAAATCCTAAAGTACCTGTAGCTCTTACTTCCTTAGATGGCTTCAAAGAACAAGTCCAAGACTTCAGGAGACAGCAGCTGTTCAAGCATGGGAACTATAAGGTACTCTAGGATCAACACTTTCACTTCCGATAGTTCAGTACTCTTCTTTCCCCTCTTATTTTGCAGGCCAGTGCATGCTACTTGCCTTCGATTTCAACTAGAGCCTGTTTGGATACTGAAGAGCTATAATGGCAGTGACGAGTTGGAAAAGGCTCTTACCGTGGTCAGGTCAATTAAGGCTTATTTGTACACTTGGGCGCTGACAACTACATGGACAACTATTGTTTGTGCTGCTTTTAAAGGCATTATGAAGCACAAAAAAGCTTTCACTTATCACTAATACTGCAATTGGACAGGACTAGATTCTTCTTAAAGCATCGCAGGGTTAAGAGCAGGGGACCTGTACGTTCTGTTTTTGTTGTGATAAAAAGAGTTCTTGCGGACAAGATTTTCAAAGTGTTTCTGTCCAAGAACAAGGCTGTAATTGTTGGTGTTATTATTTTAGCATGAGCTAAGAAGTTCTGAAGTCTGAGCAGATGCCAGAGTGCTACACTTGAAAAAGGTGCCATTAAACGTTTGTAACATTAATGTGGTATTAAATGATCTAACATTATGCAACAATTAAACATTTGAAAAATTATTTCTGTAGAAAAATGTTGATCTAATCTTTGTCTGTACATGCAGCAAAATCAGATGACGTTACAAATTGAAAAATAAATTTCACCTCAATTGTATGAGGTGAGAGTTATTCTTCTAAGGCAAAATGCTAATAGAAGAAAGAAATAGCCCTTTCATATAGGCTCTGGTTCTACAGATGTTCAAATGGCTATTTAAATATCATCTGGTAATCTTTACTGGGTGAAAAAATGCAGAAGTTCTCATAGCTTTTGGAGAATTTTTACACTCAGTCTTCACGTTTCTTTCATTGAAGTTGTATAGATGTCTTTTCCCTATGTCCTTCTTAACTGACTTTCTAGGCAAATGAAATGAAACATATTTGGCCTTGGTAACTAGTAAGACATGTATCTATGTAAGTCTGCCTGGTTTGAAGGTATCTGTTTTGGTCTTCTTCCTACCACATGCCTTAATTCAATCATACACTTTTTAGTCTTTATTTTTTCATTCAGTTTGTGATCAAAATATGACAATGGAATTGTAGGTATCAGTGGGGTCCCGATCAGGAAGTTCTCATTATTCTGAGCTGCCTTCTTACAGTTACGTGAACTGACTTCCTATAGTGTTACCAACAATTAATAATTTGAATTGGGAAAGAAACAATTCCTGATGAGTTCTTCTTTCCTAGAAAGGTCAAATTTAATTCACTTGGGGGGGGGAAATTTAAATTACTTTGACCATGATAACTTGCTGTTTTCTACATTCTTAGGATGATGAATATAGATTCCATTGGTCACTATTTTCCTTCCCCATATATTCTCTTTTGGAATGTGAAAACACAAACTCCAGCTCTAATTCTCAAGAATTGGCATGCTGGGATTTTTGAAAGTCATAATTCATCTTTCTTCTTCAGGATGATTTTCCTTACAAGTTCTGTTACATAAGGTCTTATTTCTTCAACAGAGACAGTAGAGTCCCAGGCCTTTACTACTTTCCCATTGGGGTCCACCAGGTATTTCCAGAAGTTCCAGGTTGGTTCTTCTCCTGTAGAATCTACAGGCAAAAAAAAGTGGAAACTTAGAAAAGAAAACTATGTTAGCCAATTCCTGACATTTGTTCATGTCAATTTGATGATTACTTTCTCAGAGGAAGAAGTAATGTAGAATTAAGAGGGAGTTCAGACTGAATAATAAGATTAATTTTCTGACAGACAAGGAGCTTTAACTAGACAGTAGGCCCTTGGAGACTAATGGAAACAGTCCAGCCTGAGACAGACAGGAGAAAGCACTATAATCAGTTTAAAGTATATGTGTGTGTCTGTGCAAGTGTGTGTCTGTGCTATATAGATAAATCTGAAACAGTTGAACATTGATAGGAAAATGGAATTTGGCATAACAATATAGTTGTACCAGGACTGATTATTTGCTTGCTTATCCAGAATTTTTCCTCCAAAAGCACCCAGTATCATGTGCTTCAGAAGATGTTTTGAGAACTGCCACATGAAGAAACAACAAAGTAAATTGTTCCAGGAGGTTTCCTCCTAATCTTCATCTACTACAGTTTTTCCCTCTGTGACCACATACTCATTTTACATGAGTTGCATTCTTATCCTTTACTATTCTGCTACATGACTAACAAAATTTTCAGGGTTTTCAATCAGACCAGAAGCCTCATCCCACTAATAGCACAAGTACAGATGCTACAGACAAATTAGTATCCTTTTCCATTGATTATACATTGGGCAAAATTTCATGAGGAATCAGAAGATATTTCAAAGTATCATGAAGACACAGGCAGACCTACGCTATTGACTATCTTGTTATTATGCTGTTTAAACACATTGCTTCCAGCAGCCTCCCTTTACATGTGGACCTTCTGGGAAACAGAAGTTTTGCAAGTTTCATGTCTGCAGTAACAACCCAGCTGGGCAAAACAGAAATGGAAGGACATGAAGAGGATTAAAGGGAAGTTTGGCTAGCAGAAAGATCCATTACAGACACCTGGAAGGAGGTGTGCTTGGAGTAGTCAAAAACAATGCTACCAACACTCCTTTAAATTCAGTGGTACGTGGGAGAACACTGGTGCTGGAGAGAAGCAGCAACATGGTCCTTGCAGAGTGCAGCTCAGGTGATGCCATGTCATATTTGGCTTCATTATATATATCACTACTGGAAGTCATTTCCTTCACATTGGATAAAAACTGACAGTTTAGCATTTAAATAGTATTTAGAGCATTTGTTCAGTGCAAGAAAAGTAGTGCCTTCATAGAGGAAGTAGTGCCTTGATAAGACAATATCCTGCTTTACACTGTATTTTGTCACTGTCTGCTAAGAACCAGCAAAACCTCTTCAGCTCTCAGTGCTAGCTATAATGCAGATTAGAACTGGAGGAACTGTACAGTATAGCTATTCTGATGCTCGGCAAGGAGTGAGGAAGGGAGTATTCAAGGACATCTCTTAGCGCCAGGTTTCACTGTTCGATTGTTGAAGTAAATTATGTAGGTGCTTTGCTTCCACTTATCCTACAGCTCTTGAGATGAATCTTATAAATCTAACCTACAGCAGTCGTGTCACAGGAGAAGCACTTATGAGACTGCAAAGTGGAAAAAGGAAGATCAGGTGTTGTATGCATACAGGAGAATATTTCAACACCTGTATTCCATGTAGAGGTTTATTAGACTAGCTTTTACAGGGCACCTGTTTTCATAGTGTCTTCATCCCTGGAGATCTTTTTAGGTTAGACAAAGCTGTCAGGGGTGACAGAGAGAAATCCTGCCTTGTGCAGGATGGACTATGTGACTTCTGACCTCTTGGAGCCTAACAATTCTGTATAGGTATCTTTTTTTCTGCTGGATGGTGTTTTGTGTCAGAGGAATTCTACAGTGGGGAAACAACCCTCCAATGTTCCACATTACTCACCAATTAAGTACTTGAAGGCAGGAATTGCAGCAGCTCCGCTGACTGCAATTTTGCTGAACATAGGAAAGGAGGCACCATAAGTCTTTCGCGCAAAACTCTCAATTTCTTTGTTAGTGTCTGGTTCTTGCTGCCCAAACTGATTGCATGGGAATGCCAGCACATTGAAATGATATGGGCCGAGGTCTCTCTGTAGCTGTTGCAAGGCCTTGTAGTGGCTATCTGTATACCCACACTCACTCGCAACGTTGACAACTAGCGACACCTGAAGAACGAGAGATTAAAACAATGTGCTGCACATGTCAGTTTTCTAACAGGTGGGATGGGACACAGATTATTTTCAAAAAAAGACAGTATCTAGACAACTGTGACTGAACACTTAGTTTGAAACTACATGGAGTTCTGTTCACAATAGGAAGCTTTTAATATTTATGTATTCCCATTTGGCAACCATGAACATAATCAATAAACTACTAAGCAATCTTAATTCTCAGTTTACAGACAATTTATGTTCCTCTGTTCTGCCTTTTGGATAGTTTCTAAGCATATTTAAGAAATGAGCATCCAGCTAAAGTATACAAAGTTGCATGAAAAAAGCTTGCAAATTAATGTATTTTTGATAGTTCATTTATCTGTAGTGAAGCATCTGTTCTGCAGCATCTTTCCTTTTACAGAATTTAGTATTCATACAGGACTGGCTGATTCATTTATCATTGCTACTGCAGATGTCTTGATCTCAAAGTTAATAGATGCAATTACAGGATTTTGGGTTGGCCTATGCAGTATGGACTGTAAAATTTCCCCCCATGTCTAGAGTAAGTCTACTTAGTTGTGATAAAATTGCAACAGATTTTGCATAAAGGTTTACTGCCTCAATTAGAGATTCCTAGAAGTAAAGATTGTGCCCACTATCCTTTAAAGAGTTATTCCTGTAGCTGAGCATCTTTGTGCATTGTGTCATTTGGGCATTACCACCAGGCATGTATCTGCCTGCACAGATCTAGCAGAGGAAGATGCCAAACACAGATGAACGCTACAGGAAAACAGGCATATGTAAGGACAATACATGGTGGAACAGATTATACCAAGAATTTGGTGGGGGAATTTAAGTGAACTAATGCTGGGGTGACACATATTACACAGTTTATCCAGGCCACAAAGAGCTTTCCATTGGGTTTTGAGATATTTTCTCTCTAAATAACTTCTAGAACTTATTTTTAGACTTATTTTTAATTATTCTTATAAATTTTGTGAGTTGCCACTCATCCTACATAACTGACCCCATTTTCTTGAGTGGATTAAAGCTGAATGTCATAGATCCTTTAGATACAATATTATTTTATTAATAAAAATAGCACTATGCACTTTATAGTGATGTTTCTTTTACATATAACTACATTCTATTCCTTTTTCCAGAACAATTCGTAAGAGTCATAAGGCAATATAAGTATTAAAATACTAAAAATGTTTCTACCAACCTAGATTAAAATCCGGCATAGTGCAGAAGAAGGATTATGATCTGGGAACTTAAATGCTACCCAGTTTACACTGAATCCAGTGCATTTCTACAGATTATATATCAGCCCAGAAGCTGGTCCTTCATTCTCAAATTGCAAAGTTTTAATTTCATCAAAGCAGCCAACACATTCCCCAATGCTAGTACAACAGCAGTAGCTATTCACATTAGATCTTTTTACAAGGCTTTGGAAGTTTCATAGAAGCTGGCATGTTGGTTTCATTATTGTCAGTGTGAGACAGCAGTGCTGAAGGGCCCAGTGCTGCAAGGGGAAAGCCTGAAGCGTGGACTCGTGAACTGACCTGATCAAATCACACAGCAAGTAGCTGCAGGGCAAGAAAAGGAAGTGAAAAATCTTGACTCCAGGTCTCATACTCTTGTGTCTGTGACCACTGGCTTTGCTCAATTTAAATGTTAGATTCTAATGTTACTATTGTTCCATATTCCTATGTGTATGTTTTATACAAAATATAAAAGTATATAGGAAGTATGAATACAGCACATCAAATAAATTATAATATATAAAAAAGAAATGGCTACATGTGTATAGTGTTTTTAAGACCAGAAAACGAACAGGAACATAAAAGCCCACAATCTGGCTAAGGTATGGGATAAGATGAAATCTCCAGAAGGGGGATGAGTAAAGAATGAGTAAAGAAAAAGCTAAGGGGATGTCGGTGTTAATTTTTAAATTAAACATTAACACTAAAAATAAACATATTTTGTACCTTCTGTAGGTATATGGCTATATTTAAAGTGGTTTCAGGGCAGCACTGTTTTCCCTGGGAGACAAGTAATCTTATAAAGCAGAAGTTGATGTAATCTTTGCAGTGCAGTGTGTCAACAGAACACAATATAAGCAATTCCTGTACACTTGCGTATGAAATATGATGGGGAGCCACCTAGCTAACTTCCAAAGCATTGCATTAATTTAGACTACATTTATAAGCTCTATCTGAAATTTTAAATTCAGTCTCTTAAAACAACCAAAGATACGGCATATAATTAGTTGGAGTTTTTTTCAGAGAAAAGGTAATAATTTTATGATGCATTATTGTTGCAGACTGTCAGCATTTCAAATAGAACTTAACATATTGGATGTAAAAAAAACTATTGGCAGTTCTGTTCTTTTTAAATGATCTGTATTTACGAAGTATAGTGACAACTGTAGTTTAGTAGGACTGATGTAAAGATAAATTGTAACAGTAAGAGTTGAAGTCACGTGTAGTTCATATGAAATTCTAGAGGCTTTTTTGAATATAGTTTAAGACTCAGCATTCTCACGATGCAGAAGAGTTCATATAGCTTACTGTATTCCTATCTATTGGTACTTTATGCCAAATACAATGGTAATGTAAGAATTTATTGTTGGAGGTTTGGAGGATATAAGGTTGTGTAGATATTATGTTTGTATTATAACAGACATGAAAGATGACTTTCTAATGAAAACAATCAAGCTTTTATAACTTGATTTTGAAGTTAGGAGGGTTTAAAAGAATTCACTCAAAAAAGAACCTTTTCAATTCACAGCTGTTTAAAGCCAGTGATTACTCAGCAAGGTGGTGAAAGGCATGAGAGCTCACACTGTAAATGGTGCAAACTTCTAAGTATCCTCCAACAAAATAGGAGGCAACTACATGCAGCATTTCTTAGAATGGCAGACACATTCAGTTTCTCTCTTTTCCTTAGAAAAATGTATTTTATTACTGAACGCCATAATTTAATAGTGCAAGCCTCCTACAAGTATAACTAACACAATAAAAAACTTTCAAGATTTATTAGTATTTCATAAGGAATGTTTAAAATTATTGTTTAAAAATCTTTACCAAGTTATCTTTCAAGTGTCTGGTACCAGAAATTATTAAATATGGTGACTTTTTTTTGTGTCTATATTTTACTTTACTAAATAACAGTCATTCTTTTTGTTCTCATGAAGAGGCTGTACTTTGAATTCTTACATTATCAGTTATTTAAACTAAGTTCAATATGCCTCTTGACTGACTTTAGGCTCTGAGAGTGCAAGTCAAGTACACCACCTAGTGTGTAGTGCAAACAATTCATCCTGGACCTTACAAAAATTATTTAAGCCGAATGCTATATTAGCCATTGTCTGACCTCTTAATACTATTCTTTCCTTCCCTTTGCTTAGAAAACCCATGCATTCTAGTAGTGAACTCTTTTATTTAACATTGCAAAAAATAGTTCTTGATTTACTTAATATTTTCACCAGTTTACGCCCTTGAGGAAAACATCCCTGGAGAGATTTATGAACCTGTCATCAGCTTCAAGTAACCCTTGTCGATCTTTTAGCTGAGACAGGAGATACTTAGGTTTTTAGACTTGCAAATTCTTAACTGGCTGCATCTGAGGGATGGAAGAAGCAGCCACAAGTGTCAGGTTACACTGACTCACAGAGCTGTTACCTTCATGGAAAAAACAGCAATCTTTTGTACAGTAATTAGGTAGCTATACTTGGCATTTATGCACAGTCAGTAATACCACATTCTCGGATGGCAGACAGCTGTGATGCAAAGTGCCTAGCATTGCTCTCAATAGTAAAATAATACTTTGTGTTGTTATAGTGCCTAATGCTTTTACATTATTATAGTAACTTTGGTTCAAGCCTTCCAAAGCCTTGCGCTAACGCTGCTTAATTACACCTCAGCACACTGTACTTAGCTGTGTGGTAGGCAGGTAGGTAGGTACTATTGTATCTAGGGAGGTGTAAACACAGCAGGGAACAGCTGATGCTTTGGAGTTCTGACTCCCAAATAGATCGGATTTTTGGTAAGAATACTGCCTCTTACAGCCTATTTGATTGAGATCACGAAATAAAAGTTAAGCTTTCTTGAATTGTATAGGTAGATGGATTAGACAGAAAACTAATCTTATTTGTTGATTCTTTTCCACCCATGCTTCACTATCCTTCAGTTTTAATGTAGATGGGTCAACATCAGTATGGTAGCCTGGAAGAATCGTAGGAGTATGGCCTTCTTGCGCAACACAGTAAAACAGGCAGCCTTTTGATCTATTTCACGTGTGGTACTCTTCCCCCCCCCCCCCCCCCCGAGTCGTAATAGTCTTCGCTTTCTGTACTTTCAAGTAGATGTAATACAATAGCTGATTTTGTAGCATGTATGCCAAATTTTTAACATTCTGGAAATATTATTTCTTATGCCTCCGTAAAAAGGGAGTACTCCCTCACATATTTCTGCTATTTTTATTAAAGTGGAGGAAAGGTTATGTCTATGCATGTTTATTTCAGAAAAAAAAAAATGTTCCCTAATTTTCTTCATTTTTGTTATTTCAGAATTGTTTGTGTATTTCTTATTTACTATATAACAGAGGGTACTTGTGATTTGTATCAAGATGCACTTGAATAGAAATTGAATTAATATCAATCAGTCTTTTTCTTACAAAGAAAAATTGTTTCAATTATCTGAATACACAATAGTTTATATTAATAATGAGTTACTGAAGAAAGATTCTGCAAGTCATGAATTGCACCGATTGTTTACACTTAACATGGCTCATTATTCTTTTTTTATACTCTGGAAGCTTTTGGATTTTTTCAATTCCCAGTTAAGTTTCTTGGCTACCAATTAAGTAGTTATTTAACTAAATTAGTTGAGTGACTGAATTGAAGAAAATGTCTTCTCTACAGCTGCCAGAAAGCTTAAGGCTGTTAAAAGCTGGTTTAGCAATTAGCAGACTATTGTTCCAGGGGCTAACTAGGAACTCACTCTCTTTAAAACACCAGCAGCACATACGTAGTACTTACGTACTGTCTGCTCTCTTTATTAGCTTTAAAATATTATGATAAAGCTACATCTTAATATTACTAATCTAACTGCAGATTTAAGCAGGTTTATTTTAAGAAATAAATGGGAGTTTTAATTTACCTTTGTCTACCTCAATACTGAGTTCTGACAACAATGACAGAAAGGGATGTGTTTTATTGCTATAATTTTCTTTAAAATTGAGCACATGCATTATCAAATAGCAGCTAGCCTGGACATTAATTAATAGGCCTTCTGACTGCAAATCTTTTTGTTCCCTACAGAAACTGGTCATCACCTTTTTGGCATAAACTATTCCTTATGGCCAAGCAGAGATCAAGGAGTACCATCATGGATGGTGTTACCTTTTCCAAGGAACAGCTCTAGAGCTCCCCCTTATGAAACCATTCACGCCTTGAGGATGGCCTGGTGTCAGAGCACCATTGGAGGTAAACACAGCCCTAACCTGGTGGGTTCATGAGATACCAGGGCAGACTCCGCAGCTTGTTCTGGAGGGGACGAACACCCTCGGGACGAACACCCTCGGGATGAACACCCTCAGCTCTCTGCAGCTGGCTCTAAGGAATTCCTCTGAGTTCCCCCTTTACTCCTTTTCATGTGGATTCTGGCCCCGAGATAGAAAAACTGCAGGTGGTATTCGCTTATTCAGACAGATTTGCAGATAACCTGCAGACAAAACATGCCCCAGTAACAGGATTTATTGACAGAGCCTTTGGAAGGATCTCCTAAAAAAAAAAAAGCAAATATTGCTCAATATTAAATAGGTTCCATCGTTTTTCCAATAAAGATATTTGAGTGTGCATTGGACCAGTTCTGCTCTATCTGAATTGTGAATGAAGGGGGAGGAGGACTTTGACCACCTAAGATTCAGACCTCTCATTTGGTCCAAATCTAGCAGTATTTCTTCCTACTGAGCTCACGAAAACGTACATCTCCTCCCATGGGCCTCCTCTGCCTTCCTGCCAATGTTTTAGGGACCTGCTGCTGTGGACTAGTGAGCTCAGACACCTCAGTGACGTACTTGAGGAGGGGGAAAAGGAAGGTGGGAACACAAAGCTGGAGAATAAGGGTGAAAGTGAGAAGTGGTGCGTGCCTTTCTGAGCAGCCGCTAAGCTATTGGGCTACCTGGCTGTACCACAGAAGATGTATCACTTGAACGCTAAAGGTGGCAGTTGTGGGCTTTATGTTGATGATAGCATCTGTCATTTGTGAATGTGGCTATGAGAGCTTATAGTATTATGCACTCCATGTCCTAACTTCCCTTTTCACTCTTCCACAGGTTCTGACCACCTTTCCCAGATGGTCAAACCATAAAATAAAATAAAATAAAATCAGGTTACATTCAAGGAAACTTCTTAAAATGGGAAGGAAAGCTCTGCTTAGAAGTCCTTAACGGAATATATAAATAAAACTTAAAAGACATCATGGAAGTGTATGTGAGTCAACGTGCCCTTCTTTGTATTGCTCTGTCACACCAAAAAATGACAAGGGGAATAGCATGATGTTGCTACAGTTTCATTATACACTGATATTAAAATAATTACTTTATCGCATCTCTCACTTTTTTACTGGTGAAATCTGTTAATTCCATTTGCCACTGATTTAAAGCCCCTCTTTTTTTTTTTTTTTTTTTTTTTTTAATGTAGAACATTAAAAAGGGATGGGATTTAGGTAAAATTAATTTACTAAAAGTCATGCAGTTGAAAAGCAGAAATAAGCTCCAAAAGCAAGTTATACAAAGGTACGAACTTAAAATTTAACAGCCATAGCCTAGCGCAGTTCATCCT